TTCATGAAATTTTTTGCTTGAGCATAGAGATATATCTCCTCTATAAATAAAGCGTGTGATTGATTCGATTCCTTCGTCAATAGAGCAATACCCGTGCAAAAGGTTGAGAGTATCCTCCGGATGCCATCGATAAAATATAAATATGATTTCGCAGCTACCAGAATTACTAGTGCGATCTGCGCTGATATATTTTTATGTCGAAACGCACACACCTCGCGACAATGGCAGTTTGATCAAAAACTTGATGGCAGCAGCGTCGCATGAACTCACTCGGCAGTACTCGAAATGTAACTAAGATATATGCGCAGCTTGCCAAAATCAAATAGACATGTCTCAGGGTTAGTCTACGTCAGACTTCTGCAACCCCCTGTCTCTTTCTATCTCTAATACACGAAGAGGTTGACTTCAAACATTTCTCAGTACATGCAGCAGTGCAGCGTGTATTGTTGAGCACTACGCTAGGGTTAGCACCCTAGCTGTCACCGACTCAACGACCAAGTTATGGTTTCTCAACAATGATTCTCTTTTCAGCGATTCCTAATGACTTTTAAAAATGGATTCAGCCGAGCGTGTACCAGTAAATGTCCCAAGGCAAAATTAAAGGCACTTATGCACTTGGGGCAAGGCTAGTGTGTGTGCGTGCATGCGGGGTTGCGTGTGTCTGTGCGTGTGCGTGCGTCTGTGCGTGCATGCTATATGGGGGTAAAACTCACCTAAGCTTGCTGGCGTAGTCCAGCTCTATGGAGCAGCGATCACGCTGGAAGTGACCGTACTTCTCCATGAAGTCTATGCCCTTGTGGGTGTGCAAGGAGATGTTGTCATACTGATCCTAGAAAACAGAAACGACAGCATGTAGTAGTAGCAGTAGCAGTAGTGACACCAGCATGTAGCAGTAGCAGTCGCAGTAGTGACACCAGCATGTAGCAGTAGCAGTAGCAGTAGTGACACCAGCATCAGCAGCAGCAGCGTCAGAAGTAGCAGTAATAATGTACGGTCAAACCTCGGTTATCCGAACATCAATTATCCGAATTTCGGATTACAAGGTCCCGTGAATATTTAATAAGCCACTAGACCATCCGTTATCTGAACAAACAGTTATCCGAACAAAATACTCCCCACGCATCTCGTTCGGATAATCGAGGTTTAACTGTAACAGTAGTACTTATACTATTATTATTAGTAGTAGTACTTAGTAGTAGTTGTTGTTGTTTTTCCTGTTGTTGCTGTCGATGTTTATGGCTGACCAACAATGGTTCACAGTTCATCATCCCAGGATATCCTTACCCAACATATGAGGGCAGCCTTCTGTGGGTTACATTAGATTACCCTATCCACACGAAACCTGGTTTCAGTCCACTCACTCGTGCAGCACATTTAGATTACGGATTCGCAATGGGTAGTAAAGTAAATGTACACAAGCACCAGACCAGCACGACCACCAGCCAGACTATTTAATCATTTTAATCATTTTACTCAGGCAGATAAATATCCCAAGTGACAACAGTTTTTTTGTTTTTCTTATCGAGAGTATCGCAGAAAATGATTCATACACAATCTCTCCCCTGATGCATAATTTTCTAATTGCATGTCTCAATACAATAAAACATCACAACACATCATGCATGCACTGAAACAACAACAAAAACAACTGAACATCATCATCATCATCACCAACAACAACAACAACAACAACATCAACAACAACAACAACAACAACAACAACAACAACAACATCAACAACAACAACAACAAGACTAATGTTAAAATGATAAAAGTTATTTACTAATTTATATAAACACATCCGCTACTGTATGATAACATATGGAATAAACACCCCACAAAACGTATTGCTATTATATTTTATGAAATACATCGTGAGCAAGAGTCAGGATATCAAATGACAAATCCTCCATGCACGCTGATATTTTTTGCTTCAGGGATGCAAATACACACATAACACGTGTTAACAAAAGTTTATAAAATTACACATTCGCTTTGATGCACCGTCCTACATGGGCGCCAAAGAGCTACACATGGGTATAGCAAGAAACAGTCGGCCAGAGACAGCAGGTCAGTAGAAACTTGTCAAAACACTCCCAAGCACGCCGTGACGGGTCAGCCTAGTTCCAGTCCACTGAATTATAGAAGTACTTTCAGATTAACTATGGTCTGGCAAAGCTAGTGGAGTGAATTTAAGGTTAGTCAGGCAACAACTGGGTGGAGTTGCGCGGGTCGGTGTAAGCAACAACGGCCATTTCACACTGGCGAACAAACATTCCCCCTTTTTTTTCATCTCGGACCAGTAATCCCACAAGCACGAGCCCAATGCTGTCACTGGGGGGATGCTGGCGTGGCTGAAACCCCAGCCCACACATGCACTCCCATGTCGTAACAACCATCACAAATCACTTCTCAGCCTCCCTTGGGGATCCGTGCATCAGTACACTACAGCACGCCAGTAGTTGAGAGCTCAAATAGTAAATCAGATCACAAGCCGAGTGTCAGAGGTCCCCATGCCACATGCCAGACCCCCATCCCACCCCGCCCCAAAGCGCAGCGCACGCACAGCAGGGCCCCTCCCTCATAAACACGCGAGTCACCCCACGCTGGTCACACAGATGCTGTAGAGTCTCGCAGGCTGGGGTAGACCTCCAGAATACAGTGTGAGTGCCTGCATACGAGGGCTTTAAAAGTGACACCTTCACAGTCACATATAAAACAGTGTCACATAAGCCATCACACCCACATAGAGTGTTACAGTAACCAACATACACACACAGTATCACACTCCATCATAAACACACAGTGTCACAGTAACCATCATACATAGTAACACAGTGTTACAGTAACCATCATACATACACAGTGTCACATTTTAACCATCATACATAATGATACACAGTGTCACAGTAACCTTCACACCCACACTATAGTGTCACACAAACCATTACACAAATATTATATATGGACACACAAACCATCACACAGTTCAGCAGTATACAACAGTCATGATAACCCTACACCCTGAGCAGTATACAACAGTCATGATAACCCTACACCCTGAGCAGTATGCAAGTCATGATAACCCTACACCCTGAGCAGTATACAACAGTCATGATAACCCTACACCCTGAGCAGTATACAACAGTCATGATAACCCTACACCCTGAGCAGTATACAGCAGTCATGATAACCCTACACCCTGAGCAGTATACTATACAACAGTCATGATAACCCTACACCCTGAGCAGTATACAACAGACATGATAACCCTACACCCTGAGCAGTATACAACAGTTATGATAACCCTACACCCTGAGCAGTATATACAACAGTCATGCTAACCCTACACCCTGAGCAGTATACAACAGACATGATAACACTACACCCTGAGCAGTATACATCAGTCATGCTAACCCTACACCTGTACACCCTGAGCAGTATACAGCAGTCATGATAACCCTACACCTGTACACCCTGAGCAGTATACAGCAGTCATGATAACCCTACACCCTGATCAGTATACAGCAGTCATGATAACCATACACCCCTGAGCAGTATACTATACAACAGTTATGATAACACTACACCCTGAGCAGTATACAACAGACATGATAACCCTACACCCTGAGCAGTATACAGCAGTCATGATAACCCTACACCCTGAGCAGTATGCAACAGTCATGATAACCATACACCCTGAGCAGTATACAACAGTCATGATAACCCTACACCCTGAGCAGTATGCAACAGTCATGATAACCATACACCCTGAGCAGTATGCAACAGTCATGATAACCATACACCCTGAGCAGTATGCAACAGTCATGATAACCATACACCCTGAGCAGTATGCAACAGTCATGATAACCATAC